TTGTAAGAGCCTCAGTAGGGGTTACACACTTGAGATAGGGACCGGAGAATGACCTTCGGTACAATTGGTTATTAATGATGGCATACTTAGCCGCGGTAAGCCTAAGCTTCCTTGCCTCAGCTTTCTGATTCAGGAGAACCCCTTCCTTGAGGTAGGCTTCGATTGGATCAATCCAGCAGGGCTCGCGTGGTACTTCCGGGATCGTCATCACCTCTTGCCGAGGATTAATGCTAGGTCCTTCGAGAACATCGATTGGAACAAGCCGAACCAATTCTTCATCTGAAGACGATGCGGCTGCGGCCAATCGATCTGCTTCGGCATTTTCATCTCGTGGTACCTGATGGAACTCAATTTGATCGAACTCTCGGATAGCACTTTCTACAGCATCTTTGTATGACTTCATACGGTCCTCCTTGGGAGAATATTGCCCTGTCACTTGATTGATCACAAGCTGTGAATCACTAAAAACTTTTAAACATCGTACCTGTAGCTGTTTAGCTAGCCGAAGTCCGGCGAGCATTGCCTCATACTCGGCCTCGTTATTAGTAGATGGGAAATCTAGCAGAATTGACTGCTGCAGCTTGGTACCCTCGGGTGTTGTGATGTCAATACCAGCCCCTGCCCTCTTCCGGTTGGACGAGCCATCAACTCGTAACTCCCAGTATGGCTCTGGAAGTGTCGGTTCCTCAGGTTGATCTTCGTACTCTAGTAGGAAATCCGCTACCGACTGCCCCTTGTGAGATACCTTCGGTGCATAGGTGATGTCAAAAGAGCTAAGTTCAATAGCCCATTTTATAATTCGACCAGACAGGTCTGGTTTAGCTAGGATAGCCCGTATAGGGTAATTTGTAAGTAACACTATGCTGTGAGACTCGAAGTAATGTCGAAGTTTCCTCTTGGCATAAATTAACGCCAGGATTACCTTTTCTGTCTTGCTGTACCGTGTCTCGGCATCCGTCATAGTTTTGCTTATGTAAAAGATTGGGTGCTGAACCTTGTCTTCTTCTTTGATCAACACTGCACTTGTTGCTACAGCTGATACTGCCAGGTACAGGATGAGAGTGTCTCCGGGCGTTGGAGCGGAAAGGATTGGGGGTTTTGCCATGTAGCTTTTCAATTGATTGAGAGCTTCCTGCTGCTGAGATCCCTACATATCTTTGTTTTTGGATCGAATAGCATCGAAGAAAGGTTTATACTTATCAGATAATCGGGATATGAACCGGCTGAGAGCCGCAATTCGGCCGGTTAGAACTTGCACTTCCCTGCGAGTTTTCGGTTCCTGGTTCTGTATGAGTGCCTTTGCCTGTGCTGGGCTTACTTCTATTCCTCTTTTATTTACGACGTGCCCAAGGAACTGTCCTGACGAAACGGCGAAGGAGCACTTGGTGGGGTTCAGCTTCATATTGTATCTCTTGAAAGTATCAAAGACCTCCTGGAGGTGCTTCGGGTGGTCCTCTTTCCGTATACTTTTAACCACCATATCATCGATATAGGCTTCAACTGTATTGCCCAGTAGATTACTGAAAATTTTATTGACCAGTCGCTGGTAGGTGGCTCCGGCATTCTTTAGACCGAAGGGCATCACTCTGTAGCAGTAAGTGCCCGTTTCTGTGATGAAAGCAGTTTTCTCCTCATCTTCAGGATTCATGGGAATCTGATTATAGCCCGAGTATGCGTCGAGGAATGTGAGCCTTTCATATCCCGTCGTAGCATCCACCATTTGATCAATCTTGGGCAGAGGATAGCTATCTTTTGGGCAAGCTTTGTTAAGGTTGGTATAATCTACGCACACCCTCCATTTCCCATTCTTCTTTTGAACGACTACTACATTCGAGAGCCATTGTGGGTATTGCACCTCTCGTATGAATCCTGCTTGTAACAGTTTATTCACTTCCTCGGCTATTATGCAATTGCGTTCAGGTGCGAACCGTCGGTGCCTCTGTTTGACCGGCCTGAATTCTGGGTTAACCCTCAGACTATGGCATGAGACTGTAGGATTGATCCCCACCATATCTGAGTGATCCCAGGCAAAGACATCCGAATTGCACCGAATAACCCTGATCAATGCTTCCTTCTCTTCGGCTGTGCAAGATGAGCCAATGTAGGTGGTCTTCTGAGGGTCTCCGAGGACTACCTCTACAGCTTCGAGGGACTCCTCGGTAGGTGCCTCAACTTCGGCTTCTTCCTCTGCCTTGAGATACTTGGGCAGAGGATACTGTAGCTGCTATTTGATTGCGTCTTTGGGATTTGCCTCTGACTGAGGTGATTTCGACGCTTTCTTTGCTTCGTGTAGCGTTAGCATGTAACATTCTTTGGCAGCAACCTGGTCTCCCCAGAGGTCGATGACCTCCCTGCCATCCGGGGATAAACACCTCATTACTTGATGAAGTGTAGAAGGGACTCCATTCATACGATGGATCCAACCTCTTCCCATAATGAGGTTATAAGATGGATAAATCTCTGTCACGACGAAGTTTTCCTTTAGAGTTCTCTTTGCTGCAGTAACGGATAGATCGACCACCCCAAGCGGATTCACCTTAGTACCATCAAATCCCATTAGGGGGCCGGAAGTTGGCCTGATGGACGATGGCGAAATCCCCAACTGATCAAAAGCTGTTTTTGTAATGATGTTGGCGCTACTTCCCGGATCTACCAGTACTCTCCTGATTATGTAATTCGCTACCAGGAGGCTGATGACCAAGGGGTCCTCATGCGGGCGCTGGACTCTAGAAAGGTCATTGTTACCGAATCCAATGTTGATGCTGCCTGGTGCAACTGTGTTTACCGAAGACAACCTGCGTAACTTATGAGCCTCTCGCAGCCTGGATCTGTACAATTCTTCAGATTCTTCATCATCCTCTGATCTTCCGTGTATGGCATGTATAACCTTTACCTGACCGCTTTCTACCCGTCGAGGGTTAACCTCCCGAGGTCTTACGTGCTCCTTTGTGGCGAGATACTCCACCAATTCTCCTCTCGCTATCATGCTTTCTACTTGTCGCTGTAGGGACCTGCAGTCATTGGTGGTATGCCCATAATCTCTATGGTAGGCGCAATGTTTGCTTTTGTCCCTCTGCTCCAAGGGTTGCTTCATGGGCTGAGGAGTTGCGAACCTCGTCTTATTCTCTTGGAAGAGGCGCGCCAAGGTAGTACGGAGAGGGGTAAGCCTGTCCTCTGTCCTTCGCCTTTTCTCAGACGCTTGGGTGACTTGTGTGGCGGTATGAGGGACCTTCTGCATCCTTGTGCTCGCAGCTTTCTCTCGAGACTTGTTTTCCACCGTGACGAGGGTAGCGTGCTGTGCACGATGGGCTACGTTTTCCTCCAACCGGATGTAGATTTGTGCCCTAGCGTTCAAAGTCTGCATATCCGGGGGGGAATATTTGACTAAGGATGTGTGAAACTTGGTTTCCTGGATCATCGCCAACTTAAACGTTTCGATTGCCGTGGCAGGATGGCAATCTGCTATCTCCGAAGCCTCCATGTTAAACCTGGATAAGAAATCTTGCAAAGTTTCTCCCTTCCTTTGCCTTATGGTGAAAAGGCTGGCGATACTTTTCTTCTGCTTCTTATTTCCGCAATACTGGGCTAAGAACATGGTGCACAAGGTCTCATAGTCAGGGATAGACTTGTGTGGCCTATTCCTGAACCATTCTAACGCTGCTCCGGTTAAACTGGTAGGAAAAACCTTACACATCCACGGATCGTTATGATCGTCCAGTGCCATCTTTTGCGCATAATGATCGAGATGTCGAGAGGGGTCTCCTGCCCCATCGAACTGGGTGAAGGATGGCATAGTGAACTTCTTCGGCCTCTCCACAAGGTACACCTCGTCAGTAAAGGGGGTCTTGACCAAGGAATTCTTGTGCTCTCTAGCCATCTCGGCTGGTGTCTGGACTCTCAAGAGCTTCTTTTCGTCGAAGGCATCTTGTACACGTGCGCCATCCGGAACGCCATTGGACCATACCGTAAGCCTATGGCTGGACTCGGCCTGTTCGTCCTGAGTGCGATGCGGGAGATTATCCGAAGCAACCGCCTCGGACCTCGTCCCTTGCTTTTGCTGAACCTCACTAGGTCGAGCCCCGTTGGGTGGTGTCTCGTTGGCTGGAGGCTCGTGAACCGGAGGTAAATTCTGGGTGGGAGGTGGTGCCGCAGCATCGCCTGGTGGTGGTTGTGGCGTTAGCTTGGCCATGGCCGTGTGCAGCTTATGAGTCTGCTGCTGAAGCGTAGCTATCTGGGCGACACTCGTATCGTTCGCTTGCCGGAGTGTCTCAAATTGGTGCAAGAACTCTTCTCGTATCTTTTGCATCAATTCTATCTGTTGACTCATTACTGACTCTCCGTTTGACATTCCAGACACGATTAAAGGAAGAACAAGTGGGAGTATATTTCTATACGATTTCCACAGACGGCGCCAAAGTGTAGGTGCAAAATTTCGCTCAACCAATAATGACTGAGAAAAATAAAACAACTCACTCAAAAACAATAAAAATAAATAAGAACAATGTGTAGAGAAGTGTGGAATTGCTTGATCCTTTATTGGAGGTCTTAGCCTCTATTTATATACAAAAGATTGCAGAATTATGGTAGGACTCGCGTTGCTTGCCCTCCAATTCTTTCTATATAACCATTCTTTTCTAATAGAGTTCTTTCCATTGTTGAATTTTCCATACATAGAATTTGCCTTGTACAGAACTTCCTATCCGAATTTTCCTTCTATGGTAAATTCTTCAAATGGTAGGATTTGTGCATTCTTGGGCTGAGTATATTTTGATCCGACTGGGCTTGGGTAATGGGCCGGATGTTAAATACTCATATCTGGGCTGACGACAAGCTGGGCTGATAGCTTCTTGATTCGGCCTTGATGGAATGATCTTGGGCTGTAAATACCTTCAACTTGGGCTTGAGCATGATGGGCCTTATATGTCCTTGGCCTGTAGATATGGGTAGTGGTGACGTGTGTGTTTTTTATTGGAGGGAGTTTTTTTCCCTCCACACGTGAGAAAACAGCAAAAACTTGAGATGGTTAAGGAGTTAAAACTTGAGATGGTTAAGGAGTTAAAACTTGAGGTAGAGATTGGTAAATCTCCCCCTCTTTCTGACGAGGAGTTTTGGTTGGAGTTACAGCATAAAGCGTAAGATTAATGATGTCTGGTGCTTGTTGACAGTTGTATATTATTTGTTTCATCGATATTTTGTTCTCATATGGTCAATGTTCAAATGGTAATGTAGAGAGGAAACTAAAAAGGAAAAGCAAACAAATTATTATATACATATGATCGTTTCTTTCTTACCAACCTTGCTAAAGAGTTTACTGCATTGCTTACTTGCTATTCTTTAGCATGTGACCACATGTGAGTCTCAAACGAGTAAAATTCTTTTAAAATATGTCATTCTAAGTGGTTAGTCCCAACATATTATTCGCTATCAAAGAATAAGAAAATTATTTATAACCTTTTTGACAGCCGAAGCTTTTAGAAGACTTGGTCAGTTAACATAGTATCAGAGTGAATGTCCTATGGTTGAATCTCACAGCCATTCTGATAGTTATAATTGATGCACTTTTTGGCCCACTCAGATTATATAGAGTACTTAAATGTTGGCTGAAATATTATTGAATTACAATTTTTTTTTTTTTTTTTTTTTTTTTTCCAAATAGGCATGCTACCAGTGGTTGTGTTTTATTACACATTTGTCTTCTAGAATGTTTCTTGTGCTCTGTTCTCACAGTCCTAAATTTCAAATCTGTATTTAATTTACTGAATGATCAAATGCTAATTTGTCACACTCCTTGCCATATCAGGATAGAGTTGCGCGACGAATGGAGGTTAGAGAACCGCAGAGAATTTGCCAATATATGGTCGGATATGGTATTTGGGATATCATTGTTCATTCTTTTATACTTCAATCAGAGTAAAGTGAGTTGTCATTTTCTGTTTTTGCCATACTCTTCCATATGGTAGCATTTTTTCATTTGAATGTCTTGATATTGTTTCACATTTTGATGCCATCATTGTCATCAATGACAACAATAATCAACCAAACAATTAGTTGAAAGCTAGTAGTGAAAACATTTGTGGTAGCATTAACTGTGGTTAATTTCACTATAGATATCCACAGAAGATATCTAGGTCATGGCCCATGGGTGGTCCAACTATCTATTAGATTAACCAACCTAGTCCATTAAGGTCTTTTTCTTAATGCTTTCTATCATGTGATTGAGCTTGAGGAATTTTCCACAGAGTCTTCAATATAGCTCCGATTTCATCATCTTCAGTTGACTCATAGTCATTTTGTTCACCTGCAACCAAATTTTGTGGAGGTATTTGCCTATACAAGACTTTCCATTGTCTCTTGATAGAGTTGAATGACAATGAAGGATACATGTAGCTGATCCAAGTAGTTGAGATTAAGCCTTTGTTGAGTTGAATTGATTTGTATCTAATCCATGGGCAATTTGTTTTCATATATTTTTGTTGAAATATATCTGTGTACTGGATTAATAACTAAATTCACAACTACTTGGCCGTGTATCCTCTAATTCTTGAGCTAAGATAGCAAGATCCACATTGTCAAATTTTGCTACGTTCCTAAATTAGACACAGAATTTCAGTTCTTCTCTGACATTTCTGTAATTTAGTAATCAATTTGCATAAAAACTATCAGTATTTTGTTCTTGCCTCATCAATCTGTAATGCTTCAAGTACACTTTTATCATTAACAGTCCTGTATTATTGTAATACCCCTAATTTTAAAAGGATAGTTTCGGCAGTTATTTATTATTTTTATTGTATTTTTGGGTGATTATTTGGTTTAATTATTTTATTAATTTGATTTAGTTGGTTACCTGTGTGACATGGGTTTATTTTATTTATTAATTTGATTTAATATGTTTTTGGTAACTGTTTATATAATTTTGTTTATTTATTTAGTTGTGTTTATTTAATTGTTTAATCAATTTTATTTTAATGGGAATTTAAATTTAAGGGAATTTAGTTTTCTATTCTTTACGTGAATTTAGGGTTGCAATTTACATAGGTGGCCGACGTAGGTATTTATCTTAGGTCGGTTTATGGGCCGAGATGGGCTTTGGCTTTAAGGTTACATGAATTAGGGTTTAATCACTAAGCCTATAAGTATGTGCGTCACAGTGGTTTAGGGTTTGAAATAATTAAACGTATTTTCTGTAAAAACAACAGAGACCGTGGGATACAGAGGGAGAATAGATAGAGATAGGAGAGGAAGGATAGGTGGAAGCAAGGTAGAAGGAACGTGGGTTTGTGGAACAGCAGTGGGGAATTGAACGGGCAATACAGAACTGGGAATTTAGAGTTTCAGGTCTGAAACTCAAAGGCAAGTTCTTATCTTCCTCCTTCCCTTTGATTTGTGTTCTGTGCTCCTGGACATCTCTAGGAGATTAATTGGCCTTAAACTGAACCATGCATGTTTTATATATGTTTTACTTGATCGTTTTATCTGTGAAATTTATTTACAAAACAATTATAACACGTATGTCTTCTTGACTCTGTTTTGGCGTAACGTCTCACTGATTTAATTTTTATTTTGAATCTTACTGAAATCAACCGAGGTCTGATTGAATACTAGATGTAATTTAAGACTTCAAATTTAAAATTGGAGGAAGAACAGAGGGGTTGGGATAAAACTGATGTTGCAATTTAGTTTCAGTATTGTTCTTCAACTATGCTAGTTTAAATGGCTTGATTAAACTCTGTAGTTGTTTGCAAAACTATTATAAACAATCTTGGGGAATGCTTCTAGACTAAATTAAGAGTCCTAGGATTAGTTTTAGGGACCAACAGAGTGGTTGGATTTGATCAGAGAAGGAGCGGACGGACTGAAACGAAGCAACGGGGACAGAGGCTCTCAAAGGAGCTGAGAGCCGGCTCCCACAACAAAGTAGAGCCGGCTCTAAGAAGTCCTAGAGCCGGCTCTAGGCTGGAAAAGAGCCTGCTCCAAATTCTGGAGCAGGCTCCCTTGTTATTTTTGGTTTATTTTAAGTTTTTTTTTTAATTTTTCTACGTACTATGTTCACTGTTTGGGCAATCTGGGTTATTAATCAGTTTTAAAATTTTAGTTGGGTGTTGAATAATAATTTTAACTTGTAACTAGGGTCCTGAATTGTATAAATTTACCCCTTAGTTTAAATGGAATTAACAGTACGCTATTTGACAACTTTGCGTACAGTTAACGGCTGGAAGGAGATTTGTTGATTAATTTTAATCTGATGGTTTAGGGTGCTATAAAATGATTTTAAATTTATTTTAGATGCACGATGAAGTCTTTTAAAGTAATATATTGGACTGGTGGCATAGAGGGGGGCTCTGTGCTAAAGGATACAACACAATATAAGTATATGACTTAGTGTTCTGTTACCGGATGGAGGAAACTAGATCGCTTAGTTTAATTTAGCGATTTATTGGACTATAATATTATTATAGAACTAATTTTAAATACATGATAGGGTCATTGTTTTATTAAATTTGAACTATGCATGTGTTGGATGTTAATTGATAGAATAGTTTATTCTCCGATGCAATTACATGGATTATTACTGGATTTTATTTGCTAGATTGTTAAGATTCCTTCTGCAAGTATTGGATGGTGGTTTTTGGTCTGTAAATTATTGAACTGTTATGTATGTTGTAATTTATATGGATATGAAGGATTGTATGTACCGGTATGGGACGGTGACATACTAGGGACGGTTTAGCTCAAAACGCATAAACCTAACCTAATGGATTAATGGAATGGATTGAAAGATATCGAATCCTAATTGTGGCTAAGTCAGATCAGCTGTAACCAAGTTGGATGACTTCCTGGATTAACGGATGGTAGTTAAGTCATATCCACTGAATAAGTTGAGTGACTAACTAATTGGTTTATTGTAGGTCAGTTTAATAAATAGTTGAACTGCTTACCCTGGATTTGGACGGACTTTATATATATGTTTATGGTACCGCGAGTTGAGCTTGAGTCTCAGACTCGTTGGTTAGGGTGCGTATATGCAGTGGATGCGTAGCTGGTTATAATAGGTTGAGGTGTACCCTGTTAGGTCTAGGTACTCATGCCCACCTTTGGGTGCGTATTCGCATGTTGCCTTCTATTCAGATTAAGACCCCTATTATAGACTAGTGAATGTCCCTTAGTGTGGATATATTTATACGTATGGACTAGATAGATATTGTGAGGTGTCTGCGATGTATCTGCGTATCGGGTCACTGTATGGATTGCAGTTAGATTAGAACTTGCTCGTGGGTCTGACCCACTCCTTTATTATTCTTTTCAGGTGCAGGACGGTTCCAGCCTTAGAGCTTGATCGTGCTTGTCGAGGACAGTCTCACCTTTATCTGATTACGTAGGACTTCTCTCGATATTTCTAGCATTATCTATTTTCAGTTTTCAGTTTCAGTTGAACTTTTGGTTAGGGGTCCATCAGTGGATTCCCAAGTTGTAACCTTGAAGTTTTGGAGGATTGGAGTTTCACTTTTCAGTTGTACATGGAGGATTTTATAATTAACGTTTCTTTCAGTTTTATTCTATCTTTTTTGTTCTTTTTGTCATCTGTGTTCAATTTAAAATACTTTAATTGTTTGATATTCCCTCGGGTTTTGGCCTGGGCCTGATCAACCCATGTCTCGGATCCGAGGGGTATCACAGTTGGTATCAGAGCACTCCAGGTTCAAGTGTCTCTAAGACGTTTCGTATTAAGACTTCCGCGTAGTGTTTTTTTTTATATGGAGCTTATGTTTAGGATTCGTTGAAATCTTTTACGGTTCGTTTAAACTCGTACTAATGTCTGTCTTTCTATGTTAACAGCATGGTTAACACTGGAAGATGACAGAACATGAACAGTCGACAGAGGAGAGCGGCACGTAGACAGCAGGAACGTCTGCAACGTCGGCAAATGGAAGAAGAGCAGCAAATGCCAGGGTTTCAGGAGGAGCAGGAGGAAGTTCAACAGACTCAGGGTCGGGACACAGATCCAGAAATTCCTCCACACCTCAATGACCTTGTTGCTCGGGCTATAGAGGCTGGGGTAACAGCTGCAATTCGGAGCCAACCACAGGTTCAGCAGGCACCTGTACCAGTACCAGTGGTTCAGATGCTCACCGGAATGGGGCTCCTATTCAGAGGCAACAGAATGGGGGACCACAGGCAGGACAGGGTCAGCCACAGGCTAACCGACAGAGGAGGCCATTTGGTACTTTCCAGGGTAGTTGTTACACTTGTGGAGAGTATGGTCATACCATCAGGCAGTGTCCTAAAGCAGGACAGGGACAGGGACAGGGACGGAGAAAGTATGTGCAGCAGGGACAGAGGGCGCCAGTGCCTCTACCAGCTCCACAGGTTCCACGGATTCAGGGACAGACACATCTGGCTTTACCGGCACCGCCGCAAACTCAGGGACAGGCACCACAGCAGTTGCATTATGGCAGGGTATATAACCCTTAGCCACAGGATGTTCAGGCACCTCAGACTATTGAGGGTAAGTTTCCTATTCATGGTTTACATGGACGTGTTTTATTTGATATGGGTGATACACACTCATTTGTAGCTAGGACTTTTGTTACTTTATCTGGGATGAGGACGAGGGTATGCACTAGACCTCAAGGTATTTCTACACCATTGGGTGATACAGCTATTATACATGAGAGTGATGGGCCTGTGACACTAGATATTGGCAGACTCAGATTTCTAGCCAATCTATTGATCCTGGACATGCACACTTATGATGTGATACTTGGGATGGATTGGTTGTCTCACTACCATGCCCAAGTTGATTGTTTTAATAGATATATTATTTTTACCATACCTGGTCAGGATATGTATGTAGTAGCTATGCCATGTTCTAAAGGAGGCGGTAGCACCTATTTGTTCCATGTGGAGGAGAAAAAGG